GGAGAAGGGGTGGTCTTCCTTGCCGTCACACCGTTCTGTGCCTCGAACCGAGTGTAGAAGTCGTTCAGCGCATCCGGGAGGGAGGCATCACTGTCACAGGCAGATGGTGATGTCCTGTAGTTGGTGATGGTCTGGATGCCCTGCCACATGCGCCGCATGTCTCTGCTGGCCTTGAAGTGGTTGTGGATTCTCTGAGCGTGCGTGCGCTTTGCCTCTCTGATGGCCCAGGACAGTTTGGCGCTCGCTGTTCTTAGGGCCACCTTGTCGCCTGCTCTGAAGGCAGAGTCTCGGGTCCTCAGTAGCACACGCACCTCTGCAGTCATCCACGGCTTCTGGTTGGAGCGTGAGGTGATGGCCTTGGAGACGGCGACATCATCAATGCACTTGCTGATATAGCTGGTCACTGATGTCGCGTATTCCTCCAAGTCAGTGAAGTCGCCGTCAGTTGCCGCTTCCCTGAACATTATCATTCATCTTTTTTTTTTTAACCACATTATGATGACTGTCAGCTAAAGCCTAGCAACTATGACACATACAGCGGGTAAAATAAGTATTGAATACGTCACCATTTTTCTCAGTAAATTTATTTCTAAAGGTGCTATTGACATGAAATTTTCACCAGATGTTGGTAACAACCCATGCAATCAACACATGCAAAGAAATAATAATAATAATAATAATAATACTACATTTTATTTATAAAGCACTTTACATTTTAAAGAAAATCTCAAAGTACTACAGAAAAGAGTCATAATAACATAAGCAATTAAAACCAGCTGCCAACTGAGATTAGCACAGAAATTTAAACTCTAAACATTAAAACACTTTTTAAAAAGGTACGTTTTTAGACCTCTTTTAAAACTATCAGTCATCAAACCATAGATGTCCATAAATTAAGTTATGTGTAATAATGTGAAATGACACAGGGAAAATGTATTGAACACGCTTACTGAAACTTATTTAATACTTTGTACAAAAGCCTTTCTTGGTCATGACAGCTACAAGACGCCTCCCGTATGGAGAAACTAGTTGCATACATTGCTCTGGGCCAAAATCACACCTTTCTTCCACACAAACAGTCTTCAAATCTTGAAGGTTCCGTGGGCCTCTTCTATGAACTCTGATCTTTAGTTCTTTCCATACATTTTCAATTGGATTCAAGTCAGATGATTGGCTGGGCCATTCTAGCAGCTTTATTTTCTTTTTCTGAAACCAATTGAGAGTTTCCTTGGCTGTGTGTTTGGGATCATTGTCTTGCTGAAATGTCCACCCTTGTTTCATCTTCATCATCCTGGTAGATGGCTGCAGATTTTTATCAAGAATGTCTCAGTACATTTTTCCATTCATCCTTCCTTCAATTACATGAAGTTTGCCAGTACCATATACTGAAAAACAGCCCCACACCATGATGTTCCCACCTCCAAACTTCACTGTTGGTATGGTGTTTTTGGGGTGATCTGCAGTGCCATTTGTCCTCCAAACATGGTGTGTATTATGACCATGACTTTATTACCTGACCAGACTATATTCTCCCAGTATTTCAAAGGTTTGTCCAAATGTTGGGCAGCAAACTTTAAACGAGCTTCAACATGCTTTTCAACATGCTTCAGCAATGGAGTCTTGCGTGATGAGCATGCATACAGGCCATGGCGGTCGAGTGCATTACTTATTGTTTACTTTGAAACAATTGTACCTGCTAATTCCAGGTGTTTCTGAAGCTCTCCACAAGTGGTCCTTGGCTCTTGGACAACTCTTCTGATAATTCTTTTCACTCCTCTGTCAGAAATCTTGTGAGGAGCACCTGGTCGTGGCCGGTTTATGGTGAAATGATGTTCTTTCCACTTCCAGATTATGGCCCCCAACAGTGCTCACTGGAACATTCAGAAGTTTTGAAATCCTTCTGTAACCAATGCCATCAGTATGTTTTGCAACAATAAGGTTGCGAAGGTCTTGCGAGAGCTCTTTGCTTTTACCCATCATGAGATGTTTCTTGTGTGACACCTTGGTAGAGAGACCAAGGCCATCAGTTGGGACTGAACCAGATGATATTAATTTGCACTGACAAGGGGCAGGATTGCTTTCTACCTACTGACTGATTTCAGCTGGTGTCTTGGCTTTCCATGCCTTTTTGCACCTCCCTTTCTTCATGTGTTCAATACTTTTTCCCTGTGTCATTTCACATTATTATTAATTTATGGACATCTATGGTTTGATTTCTTTGCATGTTTGGATGGTATGGGTTGTTACCAACATCTGGTGAAAATCTCAAGTCAATAGCACCTTTAGAAATATATTTACTGAGAAAAATGGTGACAATGTTCAATACTTATTTTACCCGCTGTATGTTCTACAACAGTGATCTCATAAAATGTGGTCATGAACTGCAAAAAGTGAAATCAACTGTTGATGGCAACAGAGAATTGTTCGAAAAAGGGAAGTGATAAAATAGAACAAGCTAAACAGATTTTGGAGCACAATATTGATTTAGAAGATGCCTGGGCTAATATATGTCCTGAAACAGACAGAGCACATCATGAATGTATAGAACCGATGAAGGATGAAGTATTGCCAGATGAAGAGGACATCCAAGAACTCATTCCAGATATTACATTGCATTTACTAAGGTCATTAAATGAGGAACAACCTGCTGTGTTCTATAAAGTCCGGAAGTGGTGTCTACAGAAAGTACTTGAACAGAACCCTGATCCATATCGATTATTTGTTACTTTTGTTATACATTCAAGGAAGGCTATGACAAATAAAACAAACTGGTGATTATTCTCTCTTTGGAAAAGTGAGCATTGCTGCAGTGGGTGATTTCTACCACCTGTGAAAAGAACTGCTGTGTATGCTGATACAAAAGAAGTGAACCTGTGGGAGAATAACACTGAAAGACTACAGGAGTGTTACCCAGAGGCAATCAGTATACATGCTCAAGATTATGTCAAAAAATTTTAAAAAGTGTGTTTCCTTGGGTATTGGAGCAGGGGCTCAATGTTGCTGACCGTCTTGCCAGTGCAGCTGGTACAGATGTCCATGTAAGCAAAAGTCAAAAAAATTATGATAATCTCCCATCAGCTATTTGTGTGGAGTTTGGTAATCCAAATGTTGGTAAAATTCAGAGATCAAGAACATGTCAGAGATTTTCCAAAAATTCAAATTCACAAACAACGGGGGTATAAGCCATCAATTTCCACTCAAACTGGGCATGCACTGTTCACAAAGTGCAAGTACTCACAGTGAATAAAGCCGTTGTATCATTTAAGAAAATCTTTATGGCAGGGCAAGCATATGTCGCATCGTGTACATTTGAGAATAGCACTGCATAATGTACAAAGTCTGAAAGCTCACTTTCAGGATGTGCTGGCACACACGGTTCTAATGAATCCTGATATATAAAATAAAATGTATTTGTTCAACAGAAACATGGCTAAATGTTGATGACAAAAAACAAGAACCACAAATACACTATATTACCAAAAGTATTCGGTCACCCATCCAAATGATCAGAATCAGGTGTCCTAATCACTTGGCCTGGCCACAGGTGTATAAAATCAAGCACTTAGGCATGCAGACTGTTTTTACAAACATTTGTGAAAGAATGGGCCGCTCTCAGGAGCTCAGTGAATTCCAGCGTGGAACTGTCATAGGATGCCAC